TAAGGGATTAAACATTTTGGGACGTGCTGTTACAGGAAAATAATCAACACCTGGGTGGTGTGATATGGTCCGACACACAGCATAGTTACTCTTATCATCCTGAAGTAGATTATTTTTCCAATAACCTCACCTCCTGACCTGTTTTATTCCTCTTGTACCACAGCAATTGACCAGTTTACCAATTTTACAATTTTTTATTTATTCAAGAACATCACATTTTTAACTGTCTATAGTTCAAAGTCATGTTGCGGAACGATTGTGAGACACGTTAGTTCCTGTTGTTACTTATGTTGTAGCAGCTATAAACATTCTTTCTCTTACCAGCCTCCATTTTTTCTCTCTCATGAAGTTAAGACAAAAAAAAAAAACGATTGTCATGTTACCAAGAAACCGCAAAACGCAATCCTACTGACTGTTACAACGCGCTGACACTGGAGACTCCTTCCATACATATTAAATAAAAGTTTCCTTACAGAAAGTTTCACCATGTCAACAATTCTACATTTCCTTTGCTAAGTAACAGCATGTTTTTTTTAACCTATTTAGTATTAATCTTAAATTATGTGAAACATCTGCCATATAGGTGCCTGTCAGTGAGCTGTTACTATAGAAATACTAACATAGTAGAACAAGCGCATTAATGTAGACTTGTGATTTTAATTATGGCCATTACTACTGTCAGAGCTGCTGTTATAGAAAATGAATCAACACCTTCTGACTAATCAGACTGCAGAATTGAACAACGTTGCTGGTAGAAAAGTACTAATCGGTCTGTAATAGTCGTTACTATTCATGCATTGTCAGGGCTTTTCAAGTGATGCAGCTGATGCGTGCAGATATGAAAGATTATCAGTGCAGTTGCAACGGACACTGAACAGGCGGTCTAATCACCAAAGCCAGGAGCTAGGACCCAGGGTGGAGACCCGCAACACACACACACACACACACACACACACACACACACACACACAGCCCCACCCTGATAATGTCACCCTGTAACTTTCTACATCACATTCTACACTTCTTTGTCTGAACAATCACCCAAATTATATCGGCAGTCATTATATTAGACGATGGCAGAAGGATCATTTAAATACATCTGGGTAAGAGGAGGCAGGCAGAAAACACCTTAGATTTATATTTCAGTTCCATTCTGGTGTTTATCTGTATATATTTTGCAGGATGGAGACAGCAAAGCCAGCAGGGTAATCCGCATCGGGACGAGGAAAAGCCAGGTAAGTGAGCAGAATGGAACGTATCCATCCATCCATCCACATGTGGAAAACTTTAATGGACTGTGTAATAGTCAGAGCATGGAGCGTTGTGTAATACATGTGTACATGCACAGGAGCCATTCGAATCAATATTATAAATCAAGCATAAAAGCAACAAGATATTTGTTACAGTCGCTACATTGTTTAATGTATTTAACTCACTGGCTACTTATTAGGAAAGCCTGTACAACTGCACATTTATCTAGTCAGCTAATCATGTGGCAGCGGTGCAATACATAAAACCATGCAGATACAGGTCCGGTTCATTTAATGTTCACATCAAACATGGCTGTTGGTGCCAGACAGGCTGGTTGGAGTATTTCAGAAACTGCTGATCTCCTGGGATTTTCACTTGACTTGTTGCCATGATGTGATCAGCCGTTCTGAGGTTGGAAATAACTTGATGAGCGAGATCAGAGAAAAATGGGCAGATTGGTTCAGACAGGATGGCTTACAGAAACTGAAATAACCACTCTTTAAGAACATGGTGAGCAGAAAAGCATCTCAGAACCTTGAAGCGGATCGACTACAAGAGCAGAAGACCGCATCAGGTCCCACGTCTATCAGCCAAGAACTGAGGCACCAGTGGGCACAGACAGTTGAAGATTAGAAAAACATCGGATTTTTATATGTGTCCAGTGTAGTCAGAATTGCGCTGCTACAACATAATTAGCTGACTGGATTATTGCATGAATGAGCAGGTGTTCTTATTAAAGTGGCTGGTGAGTGTATATATTGTATGTCTATGTAGTAAACTCCATTTTTTTTTTTTACCATCTATTTTACCTTGAGGAATGAATTCACTGGATTGTTCTTAATGGTGCTGTGATGATGCCTAACTTGTACATGAATAATGCTATCTAATCTCATCACATCGTTTGTATTTAAGCTCGCTCGCATTCAGACAGACAGTGTGGCGGAGAAGCTTAAAAACTTGTACCCTGATGTGCACTTTGAAATAGGTAAGAGCACACTGCGCAAGCGTGACGCAGTAACGCAGTGCCTACTTATCATCCGTCAATGTAAATATCTGCTAAATCATTCCTGGTCCTGGATTAAGTCATCACTGCTGAGTTTTTAGTGTCTCCGTCTCACTTAGATCCTGGAGAGAATGATGCAGTCAGCTGTGTTTAAAATCTGTTCTGTAGATTGCCCGTGTTGTAGTGACCTTGCAAACTGTAATCTGTTCCAGTGGCCATGTCGACAATAGGTGACAAAATACTCGACACGGCTCTATCAAAGGTAAGCCTTTTTGTTTTGAAGAATTCTTCTAGCCGTTCCCAGAAATGCCTGATATTTAAGCTGCTCGATTTCGAAATACCTCTCTCTCTCTCTCTCTCCGCATGTAATAAGGTCAACAAAAACAACAAATTGCATTCCATCTCTTTCTCTCTGTTTGTCTTTCTCTCACTTCCCATTCTCAAAGTGTTCATAAATGTTATAAAACCCTGCGGAGGTTTTGAAGATGAGCCTAAGCTGGTGTTAGATTCAACAGGCAAAACAGACTTTTTTTTTAATGAGAATTAATAAATGGAGAGAGTAGCTCTTATGTAAGCCTGTCACAATTATTACACCGTCTAATCGTCTAAGTGTAGTATGACGATGATTATGATCACCATTATGACTTTTGATATGATCAAAAGTCATTGTGGTGGTCATAATCATCGTCATACCACAGCACAGTTGGTCTGACAGTTGATTGGTCAGTTAAAAATATAAAAAAGTACAACAGTAATTCCAGCTGCAAGGCAAACGACAGGTTTGCACTCTTTAATGCACTCGTTCTGATGGTAGCGTTTCTATGGCAACAACCTAGTAATAAACAAATGAATACCCATGCTCTTATTTAACTGGTTATGTCTCGCTGATGTTCTGGAAAAAATTGGCAGGAATAGAGGAATAAAACACGTCGTGACATGCTGTTATTGGAAAATAATCAACTTCCGGGTGATAAAGGTAGCTAGGCTTCACACTGGCCTGCATCACACCATCCTATCGTTGATTATTTTTCTATAATTGCACACCCTATTTTATTTTGTTCCTTACTTTTACATGTTATCAAGTAATGCTTAGTGGAGTTACTGTGCTGATTGAGCTAACACTTGCTATAAATAACAATATTTAGTATATTAGTACAGAATCCAGTGCTAGCACAGCATTATTTAGTTTGTAAGTAGTATAGTATAGTGAAGGTTTAGATATAGTACAGTATAATCTAGTACATAGGTTTATGTAGTATTTCTTGTTTGTGCTTGTAAAAGCCATCGAAAATTTCATTGAATTCTTTTCAGTGTTGATAAACAGCTGTTTACGTGCATTATTACGCTGTATACAGTGTATTCCTGTACAATGAAAGTGGCATCGGTTCAGCAGAGAAGAAGACGCAGTATGTGTGTGAAGAGTAACGGCCAGCCGAAATGCCACGTGATCATTACAGTCCTGCTCTAGTGAAGATCTGAGAGATTTTTCTCTGAGCCGCTCAAAGCTACATTAACACCATGTTAGAACGGCAGAATTGCAAAAGTAATATGTTTTGCCATTTATTTTGTGTAGTTTTTCCTAGCATAGCAGTCTCACAGCCTTTATATTCTCTGTCAAAGATAGGTGAAAAGAGTCTGTTCACAAAGGAGTTAGAGAACGCTTTGGAAAGAAATGAGTGAGTACACCTTTGATGATCTTTACATCCGCCGAGTGTTATGTTCAGTGGCCATGGCCATATGGTGTTTGGTGTGTATTGAGACACACTGGTTTTTTTTTGTGTGAGTATGAAAGATGCTGTTGATTCTTGTGTCTTCGCAGGGTTGACCTGGTCGTCCACTCTTTGAAAGACTTGCCCACGAGTCTTCCTGTGGGTTTTACTATAGGAGCCGTCCTCAAGTGAGTAGAACAAAAGTGTGTCCTCTGTTCTGAGAAAACACAAGTACTGGCTTTAAAGGCTTTTAGATGTTCCTCAGCCTATGGTTCCTTTCATGAAGCAAAGTTTGTCTGAGCAGAAAAAGATGGTCAGAGAGCTGACAGTAGGTTCTGTTCATTTACTGTATATTATTTATGGATATGGCATTGGCCAACTCCAGTCCTGGTGAACCCCCCCCTTTTTTTTTGGGGGGGGGGGGGGGGGGGGGGCACGTGCTTTAACACTACTAATAAAATGGTCATGTACAGGTGAGTTTGTATTTGTGTAGTGGCCTGGGAAAACCTGTCAGATGCTGCTGTGGCTGAATTCTGGAAAAAAAAAAACATGTGGAAGCGTTTTTATTAAGGCTTCTTTTTAACCTTGCGTTGGAGTCCACCTGTAAAGATCACTTTGGTAAGGAATCTTGAGCAATCTTGCTCAATAAGAGTGCTTTTCTCATGATTTGATCAACTTTTTTGGAGAACTGCATGCCATAGCGAAATGGACATACGCCTAATCAGGTCAGTTTGTAATCAGACGCCTGCTGTCAAAATGTCCGCCATGCACCTGCTCAATCACGTCATCATCAAAACAGAGAAGAGCACTCGCACACTCTGTACAGAGGACCAAGTTTAGAAATGTTTGTGACTGAATAAAAGACATTAATAACAAAAAAATTAGTAAACCGAACAGATTTGAAGACACATCCGCCATTACTTTGCTTTGTGACTAAGCCTATGTCTAGGTGACAAAGTAAGAATTCTTTTAAATGTGCTGTTAATGTTGTTTTACCACAACTCCACAGATTAGTTTATAAATGTACAGTTGGAGGG